CCTCCCGGGTCCGCCTCCTGTGTCAGGATTGAGAGTGGTGTGGGTCAGTGACAGCTGCCATCTTACAGGAGGCGGAGCTCTCCTCCTGCACCTCCCTCCTCTAACTCCTGTGTCAGTATGGAGAGCGATGATTGGAGGAGAGTGCTGTGATCTTAAATGACAAAGCCTTCCAATGCACAACAAAAATAGGACTTAGAATTACCAGAAATCCTGCCCTAGCAACGGGAAATGTCAAAAGTAGAAAAACATAGCTATTCTTTCATACATGCTACATGTAATCACACATGCACAGGCTCATCCACCTAGTCAATTCAAAGAGCAACAATGGTACACAAAGTAGCTATGATTTATTGTGTATCATTATTGCCCTTTGCACTGCTGCACTGAATATGCCCTACTAGTGCACTGATGCCATCAGGATCATGTTATCTAAGGTACACTAGAAACAATAGTCATTTTTCAGTCTAATTTAGACCTGGTGGTCCAGAAACCCCCCTAGTCCTAAATATTCAAGATAATAGATCCCATACCTGTATAGCTAAAATCTGCTATTTGTATGTAAACACGAGATTCCACATGTGTGATGCTCTGAAAAATGTTAAATGACTGCACTCCGAGCAACAACAAACTTCCCTTTCATGGGTTCAGCTCATTGCTTCTTCAAATCACAGTAATGCATCATCAAGAGTGATGAAAGAGACAGAGAAACCCTTTCTCTTTCCAAGATGATTACTCTGAAATATGTAAAATTGCCATTTGGCAGCAATGGAATAAAACTGTTGCAGTATCAGTGAGGATGAACCATCTGCAATATGCAGGGGATATTTTGAGAAGTGAGGATAGGATGAGGGATAGACCAAGCTGCAAGGAAGACCTAACAGAGTGCTACAATGAAAGACAGCTCAGGATAAAAACAAACTGACCCTCCTCAGAATGCTTTGATACAAATGTTATCCTGGTAGACACAAGTTGAACATAGGTAAAGTTCATTGTGGCCAGCACACATCTATGCAAGGACAAAAGCAATATCTGACTCTGCATCTTAGTCAGACACTTTTTTAGATGACTCTCACAAATATTTTTAATCCATTAAAAGACTTTTAGCACAATTATTCCTTAAAGCTATCCTTGCAGTGGGGCCTTTCCCCGCCCTGCACGGTGAAATGCTCATCCTGCATTGTAAGTGAAGATACCAAGGACCTACGCATAGGAGAAGAGGAGAGTTCAGCTTTAAAGACAAATTTCACAAGTGCTAAAGAATCTCTCTCTCTCCAGATGGGCCACAAGGCGTTACCCCATTTTAACTTTAGCAACAAACTAAAAGATAACCCTTTGTGAAAGGTAAATCCAAAGAGTGATATCTTTGATTTCAATTGAGATGAGTTAGTTGGGTGAGCCCATGTGGCTTTCTATATGTCATAGATTCCTAAGACATATAGAACATCTTAGATTGCTGACTCTCTGTTTATCTGGAAGCTTTGGATTCCCCTGCTCACATTTGTTTATTCCAGCACCCCCTGTTGCATTTTCAATAATTGTAAACAAATAATATATCCAATAGGGAGAGTGGGACCAACTGTTTCATGGCCATAACAAGGGTGCAGGCCTGGGAAATTAAGCACAGACATGGACCAAATTGTTCCCAAGAGTTATAAGAAACTCTAGATAGCAATACTCTGAAGTCACAGGTTATAGTTGGTTATCCAGACTTTCAGCATTCAGTCATAAGAACTCGCTAAGACAAACCATAAATAAATGTATAACCCCTATTTGGTGTCTTTCTAATACTTATTGGTTGTGTAACACAGAGGTTAAACATTGCATTGATTTTAAGACTTTGATTAGGTATCAGCACCCACAAAGCACCTCTTCCCTAACACTGTTTGGCACGGAACAGGTCAATATAGTGAATTGTTAGTACACGTGAACTTCATTATTCTATCTAAATATATCTAGATCTGCTTAGATCTGTATATTTAGGTTCAGTAGAATGTGGCTAACTCAAAAAGTGTGAGACTGTATACTAGGTGATCCACCACAACTTAGTTCTCTGTCAGTCTGTCCCTGCAGCTAGCATGTGCAGGGAGGGGAGGAGAATGACAGAGAAAATAAGTGTCAGCTCTATGAACCAGGGCTTGTATTTAAAATAAAACTGTAGTTATATAAAACAGTATAAATCAGCACTGGCACAGAAGAGGCAATATAAGGCGTCAAGACATCCCACTTCTGATACATGCCCGTCCTACCAGTGCCTCCTACCCATGCAAAAAGTGACTTTTCTGGAAGTGACTTCATCTCATGATGAATTACTGAAGCTATAGTGTTGCATTATGGGATGTACAAAGAGTATGTGTCCACACCTCCCGATGTGCCGTATTTGGAGGGACTATCCCTCATTTGGAACTAGATCACTCTGTCCCTCTTACTTTCTCAATTGTCCTACAACTATACAAAGTACAGATTTCTATGAAAATTAACTTCATAACTTCCAAAAGTGTTATTCTGCACTAGACCTTTATCTCATCTACTAATTACCTTGTTTGCTATTTGGAAAGCCAGTATAAATGAAAAGCAATTGTGGAAAAAAAATAACTTTGGGTTTATCCAATCATTTTTGGCATATACATTTTAATGGTTGGCATAACAAGGGATGTAGTAGGGGTGTGCCTATTGCCTAAATACATTGTGCTGGAAGGTGCCCCCCTTACTCATCTCAGAAAGTTAGGGGGTGTGTGTGTTTTATCCTTATTTTCATAAAGTCTTATTTGGATATGTGCATAGTTTGGTGTCTAGAGGGTCAAGGAACACTAAAGGAGGCTGTATTTAACAAGAGAGATATTTAGTGGCACTTTGTAGTGCCTTTTTTTCCAAATTTGCTCTAATGTATCAATGCAGCAGGCCATTTAAACAAAAATTAATTTACGATGTCTGAAATCTTCAGCTAGATAGGACATTATAGTAGGTTCAAGGGTTACTTGGCAAAAAGATTAGTGAGAGTTTTAGGTTTTAGCAATTATACATAAAACACATTATTAAGTGTATCTACACTTTTTGAAGCAAATGTAATACTGAAAAGCAGGGCAGTGAAATGTTAAAGAGGACTTGAAATCTGAAAACTGTGCCCAAAAAGGCAGGAAGAAGGCACAGGTCTAGTCACCAGTATTGCCTGTAGGTTTCCTGCAGCTAGTTCTTACTGATGACCATGCCTTGTTCCACACTGTGCCTCTGTGCCATCTTGGTAGTAGAGCAGGGGTTTGCTTTCTCATGTCAGCATTCATCGCTGATGGCTAGAGATCTGCTGCAAAGAGTGTCACAGGTTGATAAGAGGATACTGCTTGAGGCAACCATCTCAGGTTGCCTAGGGATGGCCCTTACTGCACCTCGGGTACAGCTTTCTTCAAAGCAAAAGCCTCAAGAAAACAGTGAGAATTCCAGGAGTGGCATCACCACATCTCACTGCATATATTGTGATACGAGCAATCAGAGGCACTAGTGCCTTAAATGACCACTCAATGCAGATTTACAGCTATTAGGCTGTAGCAGGTACAGGTGTCACAAGGCATAACAAGTGAACTGCTATTTTCCAGAGGGGAGTCAAGAAAAAAAAGGTACATTTTCCAGGGTACTTATCATGCACAATTATGGGGGTTATCCACTAAGCTGCCGAAGGCAACCAAGTAAATAACTGACCCAAAGTGAAAGGAGCCGAACCCCGTTCAGCTATTCAGTTCAGCCCTGTACGGCTGAAAACAGTCGTACATCAGCTGCCTTCAGCTCCCTTCACTTCACATCGGTTCAGCCGAACAGTTCGGCTCTACCCAAGTGAAGAACACGTTCGCCTCAGCCGATCCAACATTCGGCTCGGTTATTCTGTTCACTACCTCAGAGGTAGTGAACAGAATAAAAAAATGTAAACAAAAGAAGAAAAAGAAAACAAATCAACATGCCCACCGACCTAACCCAAACCCCCACTTCGGTCAAAATTAACAATTTGACAGGTGTTGAACAAATGACAAAAAGGGCAGTGCTAGCGGTGACATCACCGCTGGCTTCACCCATTTGTTCTCATTCGGGAAGGGACCTGTCAAATTGCTATTGAAAGGTCCCGTCCGAATGCCAACAGCCGAGCATATGCATTCAGCTCGGCTGAGCGCTTCGACAGCCTGTGACTGCTGTACGGCTGTTGTGAATAGCCCATACAGCAGACCTTTGGTTAGGCTGAACCGAAGGCTTCCCACAGCCGGAGGATTAGCTAAAGGTTCATCTTCATCCTTCGGCTCATTAGTGAATAACCCAATTTATGTGTTAATTAATTCCTAGATGTTCTCTATAAAAAAATGAAATTTTGACTTTTTGTATTCAGATCCATAGTATGGTATGTTTACCTAGTTTGTATTATTAGGTCTTTAAAGACCATCCATTGCACCCTACTGGAAATATTACAGTTTTGCTAAATGCTACAGTGTCAGACTCCAGCTCTAACAATAGGAAGCAAACATTCGCAGTTGGGCACAGTAGAATCTTCAAGACCTTGTACAAACATAATGGAACAAACTAGGTAAGATATTCAGTTGATTAAGTTGATGATTATTGTGCTTGCTTATCTTGGAATGTTAGTTTAGCCAAATATGTACAAAGATGCAGCTATCCTTTAAGTTAGTATTTCAGTAACATGAAGGGATTTGCTGGAAAACATTCAAACTCATTCAGGGATCCCTGTTAATAAATGCAACAATACAGGGGGTACCTGTAATAAGATAATACACACCAGGAGGAACTTCGTAGATGCCTGCGTTATACAAAAATTAGCTGAAGCCGAGATACACATCTATACATTTGTTTCCATTTCATTCCAATTTTACCAACATTGTTATTAAGTTATGTAATAAAAACAGAAAAGTCTTTGCAGGTTAAATAACACTGTTAGTGGATAACGGATCATACACAGTACTAGGTCAGTCTTCAATGCTCTGTAATAAAACAGCAATGAGCCAACTAACCGTGTTATCGACATAGGCTTCTGTCCATACTACATCATGCTCCTGATCAATTACTTTGGGTCTGCTTAAAACGTGGAGGTACGCCATTACATTCTCCTGTACATCGGCTAATGTGGATATTTGGGTAAAAAAGCCTGTAACGAAAAAACAAAATGTAAATGAGCCTGGAATTCAATATACAGATATACAGGCAGATATAAAGACACAAACTAATGAAGTTCTGCATCCATTAATACATCATTAAATGTAGTTTTTTTTTGTTTTTTTTTTAAATGCAAGCAGTGCAAGTACACAAATTTGACTTGGTATTGGCTGCTTGCAGTTCCCTGGAGCTCAGACTGTAAAAGGAAGAAGCAGCACAAGAAGCCAATCAGTTGTGCTGTAAGTGTAAGCAGTGTGGCGAAAGGAGGAGAGAGCAGAATGACAGAGATGACCTCATCAGTGTGCTGCTTCTCCTTTTACATTAGGTCCTACTAGATAGGGATGTGCAGTAAGGCAGAGCTGTCTAAATCGCAGGACTGGATAAAAAGAAATACAAATGTTGTGGCAGGCAAAACAACTCTCTTTTAGGTGAAGCATTTCATGTGTATATTTAGATTTTTGCCTGGAATTCAGCTTTAAACTTTACCCCCACACTACAAGGGTGCTCATTTTATCTAGGGAGCTAAAATAGCAGAGATATACCCACCTGAACCACGATGGCTTGCTCTTAGACTGATCCTTTCAGCCTCACTCCCCTTGCGCTCCAGCATTCTACAGTGTATAGAACATGGGGATGCTGAGGGACTTACCATCGTGGGAGGAGGAGACAGGCTGCAGGGAGTGGTGTATCAACCATGCCAGGTTTGTGGTTCGGGTGATCTGTTAATTTCATCCTTAGACAAAATGAGCACTTAACCCTTGCAGTGCAGGGGTATCCTCACTTCTCGGGTTAAAATTGTATTTGCTCAGAATTCTGCTTTAAGCCAAAAAGAAATCCTTTATGCATTTATAATGTGTAATGCTCAGCTCTAAATGTTATATTTCTCTGTTCAAGCGGTCCTTGTTTCTATTGGTGGTCCCTGCACCACGTTGCCGCTTAGCTTGGAGAATGCTTCCTAATTTTCTAAGTCCTTGATCATTTTGTATGTATGCTTGGACTCTTACACGTTCTAAACATCTCCACTACTGGTGCCTGGAACAGGTCACAGTCGGTTTATAAATGACAGTAAACTTCAGCAAGGTCTTGGCAGTGTCACTAAGGTTGCCCATACATTGTACCATTTTCGTTTAAAAGCTTTAGTTTCCGCAATGAACGCTCGTTCAATTATACAGAGAATTCCCCATCAAGCACAATCAAATAGCGATTTCAGAAATCGTTTGTTAGACATAATAAACAACCAAATTTTATTAATAATAATAATAATAGAGTTTCATTTTCAAAGATTTCATACACTTTAAAGACCTGATTTCTGATACATTTGCCTGAAATGCCATGGACATTGAATTAGAACACCCCACAAAAATGACTTCCTCCACAACAGGTACATTTTATAACTCTTTTGTGTAAATATAATTCAGAAACTTGTTTCTAGGCCAAACTCTGCGTGCAGCATAGGCAAGGAACTTAGACAAATTAGCATTAGCAAATAGTATTTTTCCCCGAAGACACTGGGAACATAGATCATAGTCTCTCTATTCATTTTCTGAGTGGAACCTGTTTTATTTTCACATATTTTATGAAGCTCGAAACCTGAACACGGAAACCAATTTTTCAGCACATTACTCAAATGATCTAGATCAGAGAATAAATCTATTGGTCTTTGCACTGCAAATAATTTAAATTATTTTCAACTCTGAAAGAATGTGCACAGTAATGACATGATAACACTTAAGGGGCCAGTCAGTTAAAAACATGTGATAAAAAAAAGAAAAGATCTAGAGATGGCATTACATATTTTAAAAACATATGTCACATTCTGGACCTTCTGATTCTTCCTGGAAGGACAAAGAGGGAAACCGATTTGCAAAAGGAAGCTGTGAGGTTGTAGCAGATAAGTAGCCTCTCATAGCACATACCACTTCCAGATAGTGGAGAGAAACTGCCTTGGGATGCTTCAGGGCAGAACATAAGGAGGGACAGGCAATGCCCTGGGTAAGGTGGAAGGAAGACACCAACTTGGGGAGAAATGAGGCCATAGGCCTTAGGACTTTCTAAACCCTGTGTAACACTAGGAAAGGCTCTTTACAAAATAAAGAAACTAACTTATAAACCCACCTTCTGGAGATAATAGCAAAAGAAAGGTCAACTTGTGAGTGAGATCAGATAATGCAATATTCCCAATGAGCTCAAAGGGTGTCCTCTGAAGGGCTGATGGAACTAGGTTGAGATCCTACTCTGTTAATAGTGAGAATACATGAGGAGAAATCTGAGCGACCCTCTGCACAAATGTCTTAACCAAGAAGTGAGCAGCAAGCAGTCTTTGAAGCAAAGTAGCTGGGACCAAAATATTGATATTGATGGTGCTCAATGCAAGATGCTGATCCAGACCAGACTAGAGGGAAGAGATGTACAGGTTTTGATCATGCTGGGCTGATCTCACAGAGTCACCACAGCATTCACTGTGGAGGCCTGAAGATCCCGGAACCTGGTGACAAACCTGTCCAGTTTGTTGTTGATGCCAGAAATTCCACATCCGGAGTGCCCAGAACACCTCTAGGTGGATAGACCATTAGCCTGGATCCATATGTCAAAAACTGAGGAAGTCAGCCTGACAATTGTCAAAAGGTCATAAATTGTGTAGTTTAGTCCAAGCCAGAATCAAGTGTTCTTCTTTTTGAGCTGCATGACTTCTGTTGCCCCCCACTTGGTTGATGTAGGCCACCACCACGGCATTGTTCAAATGGATCCTGATGGAGTGACCTTGAAGACGCATAAAAGGGACATCCAAATTGCCCTGCGCTCCAGAATGATGGGAAGCTGAGCTTCCACCAGTGACCATATTCCACATCACAAGAAGAAAAGAATTGCCTGACTCCAGATAGAGCCTCACTGAGCTTAACAGGCACATGGGTGATTCATACATGTTTGTCCCACACTGCCAAAATGTTGAGTTGCAACAGCCTGAAGTAGAACTGGGCATATGGTGCCACCATGAATGAGGCTATTATCGACTAAGAAACCTTATGCAAACGCGAATGAAGGGGTGGTTCCTGGACCGAAGGATGTGGGACTAGGAGAAGAAGGACAAGCTTTTTTGTTGGGAAAAAGAGACCGTGGACAGGGCTTCAATTGAGTGTGCACTGTACTCTTAGCAGGATCTGGACTGGCTGATTCTTCAGAAGGAGATCGTCCAGGTTTCCCACCATGTGGATACCGTGAGAGCAAAACAGAGCTATCACCAAAGCAAGTACCTTGGTGAAGACCCTGTTGCCATGGGCAGAGCAAAGGCTAATGTTGCATGCCCACAGCAAAACATAGATAGCATTGATGAGGTGAGAGAATGGGGATGCGCAAGTAAGCATCCTTGATGTCTACAGAGGCCAAAAGACCCCCCCCCCCCAAC